AGAATCACTTATAATTCAGTTCTAGTTGTCGTCAACTTTTAGCCAATAACACACAACTACTCATGTTGAAAATTTCCGTTCCCAAAACACACAGGAATCATGATTCGAAGTAGTTCAATTTGTGTTTACTATGGCGGCGGGGCATATATTGGCCCGACTTCTGCGGAAATCAGGCTTGGGTTGAAAATCATTTAATTGAGAAAAATGATGTTTTGTAAAAGTTTGTGTCCCGTGTAGGCACGTTCGAGTGCAACGAAGTGCAACCAAAGAAAATCTCGCTTGTTTGAAGAAGTAGTAATCATGGCAGGAAGGGTTTCAGCGCTCAGGAAAGGCATAGGGCTTCTGGTAGAATATTTGCTCATATCCCATAGTAGTAAACCATGGATTCAGCCAATCAGCAGCCGGTATTTCCGATGAATATAGCATGCTATTCCCGGAATTGACTCTAATTACTGCTTGTTTGTTGTGGTTTCTTTGTGAGATTCATGCTCTGGATGACATTCATCATGGCCGGTGTGGAGCCATGACATCCGGCGATAGTCCTAATGTTGCGAAATTCCGTTCGACTATTATTTACACACGTTGTTGTATTTGGTTCTTGTGCCGTAGAGTCCAGTGTCTGATGTCATGATATATGTAGAGTCCAGTGTCTGATGTCATAATATGGTCTAATAGTAATAATATAGGAACTGTTTGGCATACAAGAATCCGTACGCAGACTTGTGACTGTTAGCATGGCTCAGTGGAAGGTTGACCGTTGGAATGCACCTTGAGATCTTCGGCCATTCAGCATGGAATTTTCCAGGGGGACTCCATATCCCAACTGCTGTTCGTCATCTGCCTCATACGACTCCTCCATTCAGCTCTGAACGGCCACAACATCATCACAGCCATCAACACCTGGGCTGTGGCTATGATACGGTATAGTGCTGGTATTTAGAAATGGACGCAAGATGATTTGAAACCTGCTGACCGAAGAACGTGCAAGCATCTGACTATGCACGGAGCTCTCGATCCACGCGCTTATGTAGCTCGCATGTACATCAGTCGCAAGGAGGGTGGACGTGGTTTGCAAAGTATCCATGATGTTGTCACCATGGAGAAAAGCAATTTGCAGCGTTATGTGCTTCAGTTAGAGACGGAACTCATGAAGCTTGCTGCACCCATTCTGTGGCCACATCTGGATGCCCCACCAGATAACTCACAGGTAGTGAAGTGCGGCTTCAAAAAGAACATATCTTGGCGTAGACCCAGAAACCCTTGCATGGGTAGTTTTTTTCTGGCAAACAGAACAACTGATCAACGAGAATACCTGGAGTTGACTGACAAAGGCTGGTCTCAAGAAGACCACGGAGAGCCTGATCATCGCGACACAACACCAGCGCTGATGTAGCCCGTATGTACATCAGTCGCAAGTCTCAAGAAGATCACAGAGAGCCTGATGATCGCGACACAACACCAGGCTTTGGCAACTAACCTGCTCAAGGCCCAAATCTTCCATCAGGCCAGCAGAAGCCCCCTGTCTCGAATGCGTGGGAAGGCAGGCGAGTCGGTTGCCCATATCCTATGCGAGTGTTCAAAGCTCGCTGGACGGAATTACTTGGAGCGTCATAATCGGCTGGCCTATGCGTGTACATGGGATACCTTGTGAATACGAGTACTACAAGCACCACTGTGATGGGTCCAAGAGCATCATGCACCCGCGGGTAACGGGCCTGAAACAAGAGATACTTTGGACGCCAACATCTCTCCCCAGGACCAGAAGATCAAGATTCTGTGGGATTTCACCATCTGGTGCGATCGCTTCATTGAGCACCAGAGGCTTGATATTGTTCTGATTGATTTGAAACAAACTCCCAGTAAAGTCGCATTTTTGTCTGAAATGTTCCTGAACGCTCCATGGATTCACCTCGAATGTCCCGTTCTTTCTTCTTCAAAAAATTACGGTGCCCACTCACACTTCGAACTGGGCACGGCACTTTCAAGACCTGACCAGCCTAGCCTGCAAGGTCTCTAGTGGCAGGCACGGGTGCCGACTGTTCGAACTGCACTGCAGAGTCGAACCGTGCTGTACGCAGACCTGCAGTCTATGCCGCCGAACGTTTTTTGCGGGAAAACGTCCTTTTGTCTTGTTTATGAGCTTTATTATTATATTGTTATTATTATTATTTTAGAATTGCGATCAACAGAACGAGCTGAACCGACATTTTCACAAAGGCTTTTATTGTATTAAAAAAACGAGTGTATACGAAGGCAGTGAAGAACATGGAAGAAAGAAAAAATGTGATATGGAAGAAATGATGAACAAAAAATTGTACTTCGAACTAGTTTTCGCACAACACTCCTCAGGAAGCTACGTTGTACTAATGAAAAACAATAAAGAAAGATACTAATAAAGAGAAATGGAGTGAGAAGAAACAACACCTATGAAAATGATAATCCTAGCACTAAGGTAATAACAGGAAAAACTGCGAAAGCACTTAACGAACTTGTAAGGACTACTAGTATACTGTGACACAAGATATGACACCATGGCCAACCAGAGCCAAACAGACAGAACAAGTTGCTACTAAAACAATTTCAAACGAATAATGCTGTCCTTCTGGACACACAGATTAAGCTTATGAATACGTTGACAAACGGCTTCTAACACACTCAACTGCAACTTATAACCATGACAAGCACGGCACAAAACAGAAAAAGAAGAATCAGAATACACCTTGCAGCAATCAGGAAGAGATGCAAGATGCTTGTACACTGATGACTTCCTACTAGAAAACACACGCTCGCACCCACTCTTACTCACATGATCATTCTCGCTCTCACACTCACCGGAATCACTGGACTCACTGGCCGAATCCTCCTCAACGACTTCCTGCCTCGGAGCAATCAGGTCCCGTCTCCTCCCATCCCTCGTCTCACGTTCCTGTTGTGTATTCCGTTGGCTCGGTACTTCCGTACTGAAATAGGTCATGGTGTAATTAGCAGTTGTTCTTCTGGGTCTCGTTGATATTGAGGTAGGTATTGTTGTCGTCTCTGCCGGTGATGCAGCAAGCGATGCTGATGCAAACGTGTCTGCATGCAACACACGTGGCATCGCCAAAGCCACATCTACCTCCGCTGGTGGAGGGAGTGACTTGGTCATGGCCACGGAAGCCAATGGTGGACTTGTCGAGTGAGACGCTAGGTCCTGTGTTGGCGGAGGTAGTGGTTGTTTACGGGGTCTTCCCCGCGTGGGACGCTCCAGTTGTGCGCTACGTGGGATAATGTGTAAAGGAGTGTGTTGCTTGATGCGTTCGCTCAGGTGCTGAACAGTCCTACCAACATACCGGCTAGCACAATTCCGGCATTCAAAGTTGTAGATTACATGACTTAAATGATGGGTTGGTAGGACGTCCTTCAACACCGTGAACGAACGCATCGTTGTGTAGACGGGTATGAAGTGTACCGCATAGTAGGTTTGTTTGATGATCGCACGAACTTCACGACTCACATTGTCAGACTTCTTGCCCTTCCATGGTAAGCACAAAAAGACAGGACAACGAGCAGGCCCTATCAATTCATGTTTCGGCGTGGGGGCTGTAGACAATAGTTTTGCCAACATGTCGCCTGGGTATCCGTTTTTGGTGAAAACTGAACGGAGAAATTCGAGCTCACCACTGAGTTTACAAGGTGAACAGATCCGTTTGGCGCGATCCACGAGATTCTTTACTAAGTTGACTTTATAATTAGATGAACAGTACGAGTCATAGGAAATGTATTGTCCGGTGAATGTCGGTTTACGATACACCGATGTTACGCTACCAAATTCGGTTTTCTCAACAAGTACGTCGAGGAAGGATAACTTGCTTGACTGCTCGTGCTCACATGTGAAGCGGAGGGAAGGGTGAAGGGTGTTGAGTGCACCAAGAAAGACCTCGCTGTCTTCTATGGAATCAAAGTATGTGAACGAGTCATCAACGAAACGGAAATACAGACTCGGCCATAGAGACGCATCAATCTTACACTCACTGTCCGCGCTGCGTGCTCAGACAGACTTACTGAATTTGCCGTTTGATCGTCGTTCTGCAGCGCTGTAGTATTCCTCTTCCTCTGTTAGTTCTATCTCTTCTGTCTGTCAGCGCTTACTGTCACCCAGCGCTAGGTGCAAGCACCCCCTGGCAGATTCACATTGTTCTACTTGATAAATTTAATTGTTCTCTCAAACTTATTCCTTCGTTGTGTTCGAACTGTTTTTTGAATTATTTTCGTTTCTTTCTTGCCATGTGCCAGCGGCCGAAGTGTGCAGTCGCAGCAGCGCCATTTTTTGAATCATGTCATTGATCATGTGATCACGAGCGATTGTTGCTAGCGCCAGATCCGCGGATCTGCTAGTGGTACGCATGCATACGTACGTGTAGTTTGACTTGCCTGCGATAGTTTTCTGTGATCTGCTGTTTTGCACTGGAATCGCACTTGTACTTTGACCTCTTCACACTTCTCCTTTTGGCAATGCGTGTCCTAAATCTCTCCGCGAAGTTTCCGCTGATCCCGCGCGGGGTTCTCACGCACCGTGCGGCGCAGTACGGAATTTTGCACTTGTTTCTTTTCTTGTATCCTTTTCTGGTTTCATAGCACCTTTTCGGGACTGTTCCTCTGGGCAAGAAGTAGCCTTGTCTTGGTGGCTTTCTTGTTCATGGTAGAGTTTTTCTTTGGTGCTCATAGAGTTTGCTTCGTCTTTCTTGTCTTATTATCACATTTACACTATCGTCATACTAAGCACAGCTTTGGAGTGTTGGCGAAATTACATGGTCCTTCGAGCCGGATTTCTATTGGAGAAATCAAGAACGAACAGCACTAAAGGGTTCGTACGGGACGCTGCTGAGTCACGTAACGAAAGTGTTTTGAATCGCGATCGTTTCTACGTTGGGTGGAAGATCGTTTGGTTTTGTTTGGTCATGTCCGTCAGGCGAAGCCAGCGGGAGTCACGACGACCGAACTGGTACGGCGTCGACGCGGACATGGAAACGCCCGAGCCCTCGGTGAGGGAATATTCAGTTGCTCCGTCACTCGTCGAGTCTGTTACTAGTAGTGTTAGTACCGTACGCAGGGCGAAACTGGCCGCACAACTCGCCTCTGAGGAGAGACTTGCCAATCTACAGCGGCGACAGCACCAAATTGAGTTGGAGAGTGCTGAAAAAGTCGAGGCTATCAGAGTTGAGATGGAGATGGCGGCCATAGAGGAAAGAACGTCTGGTGAGCGTAACACGCATATGGGCACACCGACAAATTTGGCACCCACACCAGCACCTCGAGCCAGAAGTGCGCGTGGGCGTTTGGATAAACCGTCGCCACCGCCGAAACCACCGTCCATGCGGTCAGCGGTCGGCACTGTGGCAGAGAGTGAGGCAGCATCCGTAACCTCTCTGCACCAACAGCTGGATGCACAGCAACGAGAGCACCAGCTTAAAGAGCGTGCATACCAGGCCATGCTCCAGCGTCAATCGGAACCGGTCGAGCAGTTGGCATCAGCCTTAGGGGCTGCCATGAAGGCCATGGCGCCTAACAGCACTGATCATATGAAGCGTTTTGTCGCTCGGCAGAGTGCCCACAAAGATTTGCCACTGTTCTCTGGGAGCCCCGAGGAGTGGCCCGCCTTCCTAAGCTCATATGAGCGGTCAACAAGGGAGTGCGAGTTTTCTCCAAGTGAGAACATGGCTCGGTTGGCAAAGGCGCTAAAGGGAAAGGCGCGAAACCTCGTGGCGGGAATGCTGACAGTTCCTGACAATGTTGACCAGGTGATCAGCATGCTGAGGCTCAGGTTTGGCAACCCTGACCTCATCATCCAGTCGCTCATAAAGCGCACCAAGGAATTAAACAGCATTAAAACAGTGGATCTGGAGAGCATAATCGAGCTCACCAGTGCTGTGCGGAACCTGGTAAGCACCATGGAGCTGTTGGAGGAGACGGATCATCTCACAAATCCGCAGCTCCGCCAAGACATCGTGGCAAAGCTGCCAAATGAGCTGCGCCTCCGCTGGGGAGAGCATGTGCAGAGTCTTGGTCGCCGTTCCACGCTGAAGGATTTGTCAGATTGGCTGACAGAGCGTGCGGCTGCAGCTTACCATGTGAGCCCACCAATCGTTGGCAACACCAACACCAGCGGTGGAGAACAGTCGAAACGGCGGGCCGGTCAACTAATGGCGACTATCTCCGAACAGAAGCGCAAACCAAGGGCATGCGCCTTCTGCGAGAAAGCCGGCCACTCAGTTTCGTCCTGCAAATCATTCAAGGATGTGAGCCAGAGTGAACGGCGTAAGTGGGCCCGGTCTGCAAACCGGTGCTACGTGTGTCTCGGGTATGGGCATGGTGCACGAAACTGCCAACGGAGCAAGCCATGTGGCGTAGATGGCTGCACGAGTCTTCACCACCCTCTGTTACATGTGCAGAACTATGAGCAACAAGGACAACCCAGAGTCTCTGCTGATAGAGAGCAGACTAACTCCATCACGGCGGGATCACACGTGACCTGCAGCATGCAGAAGCCATCTGCGAGCGTCATCCTCCGAACAGTACCGGTACGCCTGAAAAATGGCGACAACGAAGTGATGACGTACGCACTGTTTGATGAGGGATCTACAGTGACACTAGTAGACACCCAATTAGCCAAGACCCTGCAAGCGTCTGGCCCAGTGAAGCCGCTGTCTCTCACGTGGACAGATAAGCAGCATCAGCACCATCCTCAGTCCATGTCCTTGAACCTGCAGATCGCTGGATTGCAGGGAGATGAGACCTTTCAGCTGAGGAATGCCAGGACAGTGAACAAACTCGATTTGTCGTGTCAGCCGGTGACGTCTGCAAATGCGCTGAAGCAGTGGCCGCATCTGAAAGACGTGCCGGTCCACACACTCGATAACAAGAAGCCCCAGCTCCTGATCGGCCAGGACAATGTCAGCCTGACGGTCGGGCGAGAGGTCATTGAAGGCGCGCCCAACGCGCCGATCGCCTCGCGAACCAAGCTTGGGTGGGTCGTGCACGGTCGGTCATCTCATCGTCAGGGCAGAGTGGATGACGTCGTTCTGCAAACCATCTCTACCGAGGATGAAGAGCTTCACCAGCTAGTCAAATCGTCGTTTAGGACTGACGATTTCGGAGTCAAGGTGCCGCACGCTACAGCTCACAACCGTGAAGAGCTGCGGGCATTTGAGCTGCTGCAGGCGACAACACAGCGGTTTGACGAGACTAGGTGGGAGACGGGGCTCCTGTGGCGCAAAGACGACCCAGTGCTGCCACGTAGCTACGGCAACGCGTTCAATCGACTCCGCAGCCTTGAGCGCAAGCTTGACCGCAACCCATCGCTGCTAGCGAAGTACGACGAGAAGATTGCTGAGTATGTCGACAAGCGCTACGCGGAGATCCTATCTCCCCATCAGGCAGCGGTGGACTCCAACACCACCTGGTATCTCCCGCACTTTGGGGTCACCAACCCCAACAAGCCGGACAAGCTACGGTTGGTTTTCGATGCTGCATCGAAAACCGGGGGAAGTAGCCTGAATGACGCCCTTCTCTCTGGCCCTGACCTGTTGCGACCGCTGCCAGCCGTACTGTTTGGTTTCCGCGAGGAGGCCATCGCATTTGGTGGTGACATACAAGAGATGTTCCACCAAGTGGTCATTAGGCCACAAGATCGCTGCGCTCAACGATTCCTGTGGCGTGGGCAGGACCGCAACAGCAAACCGACTGTCTACCAGATGAGGGTGATGACTTTCGGGTCAACCTCTTCACCGACGTCGGCGCAGTTCGTGAAGAACATCAATGCTGCCGAGCATCGTGACAAGCTCCGTGCAGTACAAGGTATTGTCGAGCATCACTATGTAGATGACTACTTTGACAGCTGTGCCGAGACCAAAGAAGCAGTCAAGATCGTGACAGATGTGATTGACATCCACAGACAAGGTGGCTTCCACATCAGGAACTGGGTTAGCAACTCACCGACTGTGCTTGAAGCAGTGCCGATTGAGATGCGCGCACCATCAAGCATCGTAAGTCTGGACGTCGATCCTGCAACGTCAGTGGAGCGTACGCTGGGAATGATCTGGGACCCCAGTGCCGACACGCTTGGTTTCCATGTCAGTAAGCTCCGCCTAGAACAGATGCTGACATCCAAAAGCACGACGAAGCGTCAGGCACTCAGCACTGTGATGTCAGTGTTTGACCCACTCGGCCTCGTCGCCTGTTACTCCATCAGAGCTCGAGTCCTGATTCAAAGCATCTGGCGAGCGTCCATTGGCTGGGATGATGAGCTGCCAAGGTCGCTGCAAGGCGAATGGACGAGCTGGTGTGAGGAGCTGACGGAGCTCGGCAAGCTGGCAATACCAAGATGCTACAGGTTGAAGCCCGGAGGAGTCGCTAACGTCCAGCTTCACGTCTTCTGTGATGCCAGTGAACTTGCATTCGCCGCCGTCGGCTACTTTCGCTTTCAGCTGAACGACGGAACAGTCGACACGGCGCTCGTTACGGCAAAGTCCCGGGTCGCACCGCTGAAGCCGCTGTCAATACCGCGTCTTGAGCTGCAAGCCGCGCTGCTCGGAGCTCGGATTGCAAACGCAATCACTAGCAGCCACAGGATCCAGCCCGACTCCACCGTGTTCTGGAGCGACTCGCGGACCGTACTCTGCTGGATCAAGTCAGACGGTCGCCGCTACAAGCCATTCGTCGCACATCGTGTTGGCGAGCTGTCTGAGCTGTCGAACCCAGATGATTGGCACTGGGTGTCGACGATCGACAATGTCGCAGATCTAGCCAGCAGAGGCGTCGCGGTGAATGAGATCCCGCCAACAAGCCGCTGGTTCACAGGTCCAGCGTTTCTGAAGGAGCCGACATCACAGTGGCCAACGGTACCATCCACCAGTGAGCCTGTTGAGAACGACGCCGATGATGCTGAACTGAAGAAGGAGTTCGTCGGACATGCTGCTCAACGTACAAATCGCCTCTGTCTGCCAGACCCTGAACGGTTTTCGTCATGGCACAAGCTTGTACGCACCACGGCATGGGTAGTCCGCTATGTCCGTAAGCTGAAGGCTAGTGTTGCAAGGAAGTCGACCAAGCTACCAGCTGAGTTGCTGGCGTCCGAAGTTCAGCACGCACAGACGCTGTGGTGGAAGACCGTCCAGCAAGACTGCTTTCCTGATGAGCTAGCATCACTGCAGAAGGGAGAGCCAGTCAGCCGTAGTAGCCGCCTCTACAAGCTGTCAGCTGGTCTCGATGATGATGTCATCAGGGTGTTTGGTCGAACCGATAGTGCAGCCGAACTCCGTCCATCAGCAAAGCGACCAGTGATATTGGACCCAGACCATCGGTACACGCGTCTGCTACTGCAGCAGCACCATGTGTGGAATGGCCACCATGGACAGGAACGCATGGCGAACGACCTGCGCCAGTGCTACTGGATTCTGAAGCTACGCGTCGCTGTGAGAAGAACATGGACCGAATGTCAGCGGTGCAAGAACGAGCGTGTCATTCCGCTGCAGCCTGAGATGGGCCAGCTACCAGAGTGCCGTATCACAGCCAATGTCAGACCATTTACGAACACAGGAATGGACTACTTTGGCCCGATGGAGGTCACGGTTGGTCGTCGCCGCGAGAAGCGGTACGCTGTGTTATTTACGTGTATGAGCACACGAGCAGTGCACTTGGAAGTTGCACACAGCCTCACTACCGACGCCTGTATCCAGAGCATCAGACGTATGAGTGCCAGACGAGGGCAGCCAGCCGCCATCTACTCAGATAACGGCACCAATCTGCGAGGAGCAGACCGAGAGCTGCGGGAGAGCATTGGTGAGCTCGATCAGGATCGTCTGACTGCCGAATTGACGGCTCGTAGTATTGAGTGGCACTTCAACCCTCCAGCAGCTCCCCACATGGGTGGGGCCTGGGAACGACTCGTGCGATCCGTGAAAGTTGCTTTGCGAGCATCACTGACGGAACAGCATTCACGTGATGAAGCTTTGCTGACTGTGTTTGCTGAAGCCGAGAGCCTGGTCAATGGTCGCCCGTTAACGCATGTACCTCTGGACGCCGAAGACGACGAATGTCTGACACCCAACCATTTCCTGATTGGTACATCCAGTGCAGCGCTATGTCCTGGAGTCTTCAACAACGCCGACCTGTGTTTGCGCAAGCAGTGGCGTGTCGCCCAAGCGCTCACAGAGATGTTCTGGCGTCGATGGGTCAAGGAATACCTACCTACGCTAACACGTCGCACCAAGTGGCACCAGCCATGCCGTCAACTGGCACCCGGTGATGTAGTTGTTATAGCTGACGACAAGGCCACACGTGGAGTTTGGCCACGTGGCATCGTGATCGCAGTTCACCCTGGCCGAGATGGCACCGTTCGAGTCGCTGATGTCAAGACAACCACCGGAGTGTACCGCCGGCCAGTAGCCCGTTTGTGTTACTTGGATGTACGTAAGTAACTGCAGTCAGTTACTAGGTGGGAGAATGTCCGCGCTGCGTGCTCAGACAGACTTACTGAATTTGCCGTTTGATCGTCGTTCTGCAGCGCTGTAGTATTCCTCTTCCTCTGTTAGTTCTATCTCTTCTGTCTGTCAGCGCTTACTGTCACCCAGCGCTAGGTGCAAGCACCCCCTGGCAGATTCACATTGTTCTACTTGATAAATTTAATTGTTCTCTCAAACTTATTCCTTCGTTGTGTTCGAACTGTTTTTTGAATTATTTTCGTTTCTTTCTTGCCATGTGCCAGCGGCCGAAGTGTGCAGTCGCAGCAGCGCCATTTTTTGAATCATGTCATTGATCATGTGATCACGAGCGATTGTTGCTAGCGCCAGATCCGCGGATCTGCTAGTGGTACGCATGCATACGTACGTGTAGTTTGACTTGCCTGCGATAGTTTTCTGTGATCTGCTGTTTTGCACTGGAATCGCACTTGTACTTTGACCTCTTCACACTTCTCCTTTTGGCAATGCGTGTCCTAAATCTCTCCGCGAAGTTTCCGCTGATCCCGCGCGGGGTTCTCACGCACCGTGCGGCGCAGTACGGAATTTTGCACTTGTTTCTTTTCTTGTATCCTTTTCTGGTTTCATAGCACCTTTTCGGGACTGTTCCTCTGGGCAAGAAGTAGCCTTGTCTTGGTGGCTTTCTTGTTCATGGTAGAGTTTTTCTTTGGTGCTCATAGAGTTTGCTTCGTCTTTCTTGTCTTATTATCACATTTACACTATCGTCATACTAAGCACAGCTTTGGAGTGTTGGCGAAATTACACTCACAGTAACCGACAAAGGCATTAGCTAACACGGGACCCAACGGAGAGCCCATGGCTACTCCATCTATCTGCTTATACATCACGTCATTGAGCGAAAACTCGACGCCAGTTGTGACTAACAACATCAAACGTCGAAAAGCACATTCAGGTAGCCACGGAGTGTCAACTTCGTCAACACGGTACAACACATCCGCGCAAATATCAATTGTCTCCTCCAGCGGTACGTTTGTGAACAAACTCACTACATGGAACGAACACATATGTGAGTGAGTTGGAACAGGTCGGGCCCGTAGCTTCTCGACGAAATCGAAACTATCTTTAACAGTGTGTTGGCAGTAGTGCTCCTCAACAACTTTCAACAACCTACACAACCACTTAGAGATTGAATATTGTGGCGAAGCTGTCATGGAGACGATCGGCCGGACAGGACATGTAGGCTTATGTATTTTTGGTAGACCATAAAGGCGAGGACGTATTGATCCGACCGGCTTCATCAAGTCGAATTCATGTGTAGAGATACTCTTATCGGCTTTTAATTTCTTTAGGTAATTGATTAGCTCTGCCTCTACTTCCATGGTTCTGTCAAACTGTCCAACTGGGCCAATTGCTTGGAATTTAGATGTATCAGCAAGGATGACAATCATTTTGTCAACATAGTCAGCTTTGTTCATAATGACTGTATCACGACCTTTGTCAGATCTGGTTATGATGATGTCCTTAATCGCTCGCAATTCTTTACGGGCTTTGAGATGCTCGCGAGATAATGAGAAAGAACTTCGGTCTGGTAATTGTTCGGAATGCTCTTCAGCCTCTGCTCTAAGTTTAGCTGCGCACACCGACTGTTGAGCCTCGGTTATCGGCGAAAAGCATAATAGTTTCCTGTAAAACAGTTCAAATTCTGTCATGACGATTTCTTTGTTGTTACAAGAAGGCGGAATTCCGAAGTCTGTTCCACGGGAAAGGAGTTCTTTTTGCACATCAGTCAATTCCACGGCTGACATGTTGATGATGCTGTTTGGATTGAAGGTAACCTGGCCATATCTTTTCTTTCGAAGCCAGGTGAAGGTCTTGTCATACTTAGCGATCAGTCATATGCGTTGTCTATCATCGTTTTCAGATAAGAGCAGCGAGAAGCGTAGGAAGTCATGGGCAGACAAAAACGAACGCGCACGGTCATATAAGTACTTAAACTGGACACGGGCATTAGACAAAGAGTCACGCGACCTGGCAATATCATCTTTGAGAAATACTCTCTCTATTGATAAGGAATGATAGGCCTTGGTCTTCTGAACGCGTTTCTGAACACCACAGGGACAGACACCAGTGTTCAGACACCGTGTCAGAAACGAAACGTTATACGCGACATTACGGCAGTAGAAACGTTTCCTCAGCACAGCATTCAGCAAATCTATCTGATTTTGTGTGTACCTCAATCTGAAATATGTAAATAGGCGTCGAGGCGACAATAGTTTTAGAATTGCGATCAACAGAACGAGCTGAACCGACATTTTCACAAAGGCTTTTATCTCGTTGTCCTGTATTTTTGTGCTTACCATGGAAGGGCAAGAAGTCTGACAATGTGAGTCGTGAAGTTAGTGCGATCATCAAACAAACCTACTATGCGGTACACTTCATACCCGCCTACACAACGATGCGTTCGTTCACGGTGTTGAAGGACGTCCTACCAACCCATCATTTAAGTCATGTAATCTACAGCTTTGAATGCCGGAATTGTGCTAGCCGGTATGTTGGTAGGACTGTTCAGCACCTGAGCGAACGCATCAAGCAACACACTCCTTTACACATTATCCCACGTAGCGCACAACTGGAGCGTCCCACGCGGGGAAGACCCCATAAACAACCACTACCTCCGCCAACACAGGACCTAGCGTCTCACTCGACAAGTCCACCATTGGCTCCCGTGGCCATGACCAAGTCACTCCCTCCACCAGCGGAGGTAGATGTGGCTTTGGCGACGCCACGTGTGTTGCATGCAGACACGTTTGCATCAGCATCGCTTGCTGCATCACCGGCAGAGACGACAACAATACCTACCTCAATATCAACGAGACCCAGAAGAACAACTGCTAATTACACCATGACCTATTTCAGTACGGAAGTACCGAGCCAACGGAATACACAACAGGAACGTGAGACGAGGGATGGAAGGAGACGGGACCTGATTGCTCCGAGGCAGGAAGTCGTTGAGGAGGATTCGGCCAGTGAGTCCAGTGATTCCGGTGAGTGTGAGAGCGAGAATGATCATGTGAGTAAGAGTGGGTGCGAGCGTGTGTTTTCTAGTAGGAAGTCATCAGTGTACAAGCATCTTGCATCTCGTCCTGATTGCTGTAAGGTTTATTCTGATTCTTCTTTTTCTGTTTTGTGCCGTGCTCGTCATGGTTATAAGTTGCAGTGGAGTGTGTTAGAAGCCGTTTGTCAACGTATTCATAAGCCTAATCTGTGTCCAGAAGGACAGCATTATTCGTTTGAAATTGTTTTAGTAGCAACTTGTTCTGTCTGTTTGGCTCTGGTTGGTCATGGTGTCATATCTTGTGTCACAGTATACTAGTAGTCCTTACAAGTTCGTTAAGTGCTTTCGCAGTTTTTCCTGTTATTACCTTAGTGCTAGGATTATCATTTTCATAGGTGTTGTTTCTTCTCACTCCATTTCTCTTTATTAGTATCTTTCTTTATTGTTTTTCATTAGTACAACGTAGCTTCCTGAGGAGTGTTGTGCGAAAACTAGTTCGAAGTACAATTTTTTGTTCATCATTTCTTCCATATCACATTTTTTCTTTCTTCCATGTTCTTCACTGCCTTCGTATACACTCGTTTTTTTAATACAATAAAAGCCTTTGTGAAAATGTCGGTTCAGCTCGTTCTGTTGATCGCAATTCTAAAACTATTGTCGCCTCGACGCTTATTTACATTAATATTATTTGAACAAACGGCGAGGAGACAACAATTTGATAACCGCAATCAGTAATACAAGCTGGATCGACATTTGTGTACACTGTATTCATGTATTGTAAAACTGTGGAGACAATGTGCAATAAAACGATGAAAAATGTGAAGAAATTGTGTAGAGAAAGAAAGGGATTCAAACAAGTTTTCGTACAACACTCATCAGGAATCATCGTTGTACTAAAGGACACTGAAACAAAAATTGAACTATTATAGAAAATCTAAGTTAAAGAAATAACACTAAGAGCAACAACAGTGAAATTTACAAGTGTGAATTTTAACAATCAAAGCGAGAAATGAACAAAGGAGAAAGGAAGGAAAGACAACGTGATAACACATAACAGCAGTACATTACACCTAGAACATTAACGGCCAAGCTTGGCCGTTAATGTTCTAGGTGTAATGTACTGCTGTTATGTGTTATCACGTTGTCTTTCCTTCCTTTCTCCTTTGTTCATTTCTCGCTTTGATTGTTAAAATTCACACTTGTAAATTTCACTGTTGTTGCTCTTAGTGTTATTTCTGTAACTTAGATTTTCTATAATAGTTCAATTTTTGTTTCAGTGTCCTTTAGTACAACGACGATTCCTGATGAGTGTTGTACGAAAACTTGTTTGAATCCATATATTTTTTCCCTACACCATTTCTTCATATTTTCATCGTTTTATTGCACATCGTCTCCACCGTTTTTACATTGCA